CCTCGCAAAATTCTGCACCTAGTTAATCATGAATCGACCAAAAATAACGATGGCCCAAAAATGGCTCTTATGCGCCCCCATTCTTTAGCTACAAGATAATTATATTATCTTGCATCAAGATCTGTAATTAGATATTGGGTACAGATTTATATGGAACAATCAGATACGAGAATTCAATGTTTCTTGCGCAAGATCTTGAAATCTGGTCCAAGATCTTGGTTTCTAATACCTACTAAAGATTAATTTTGGTCTGCTCGGAACTAGGTCATGCTGAATGATTCAAGAAAACACGATCTTCCTTGAAGGATCTTTATGAGGACGAGGAGTTTGTACATTTTTTAAATAAAACATTAATCTCTAACTTAGACCGTCGTGTCTGTAGAGGAAATCTTACTTCATATTCAGATTCAGCGTCAAATTTTACTTCGGAAAGACTATTTCAGAAGTCTTTAGAGGCATCCATATAGGAATTCCATTGATCATTTTTGGACCACATATATAGCAGCCAAGATCTTATAGATCCGTACCTAAGATCTTATTATAGATCTTGGTAAAAGATAATGTGATTATCTTATACCTAAATTTTCAAGATCTGTTCACATTTCTGTACTTTGTATCTTGGTCAAGACCTTGCTTACAAGATGTTCGACTAAGGACGTTTTTCTGAAGACGGTTTTTTCCGGTAGAATTAAGTTCTTTGACTTTGTGTAGGATAAAAGTACTTAAAAGAAAACTGAGTATGATTTTTCTTCAAATATGGATATGCGACTATTTCGAAAAGGAACCTAACAAATAAAAGAGTAAAACCGGATATTTCAGTAACTTTTATGCATTAAATATATCAATTAGCTCACTTTTCTAGTATTTTTTCTAGAAAATAACCCTCATTTGAAGCATTTTCGATTATGTATTGAACGTTGGCTGGAAAAAGCATACAATGGAAATGCAATCTTCGGTAATCTCCCACCGTTTTCATTAACCGATGATATTAACGACGCTCCATTCGAAACTTCATGTCAAAACGAAAACCCATGGTGGATAAGAAATGAATATATTAAACCTGATGATGATGAACGAGACAGTGATTATTTTGATGATTCTCCTGATTATTTTGAAGACTCACTACGAGTCATAGGTTCATGGCCTGCTTACGATGAAGCTCATCGCTACTTTCAAGATGGAATTAATCGAGATACTCTATTTTCCATAAAGAGGGGAAAACGTCGTCTCGAAATGGAAGAAAATAATCAATGGAATCAAGTCCAAAGGGTAAACGGAATTAAAAATAAGAAAATCAAAGGTTTTCCAAGTTTTACAACTGGATTAAAACGAGGTAAATGTGCCTGGGACATCAGTGAAGATAGACAGCTACTAGAAGAATACAAAAGAAGGTTGAAAGGAAAAAAAATAAAACAAAGACGCTCAAAATCCGAACTATGGAAACGAATATTTGAAAGAAGATTAAAAATATTTACTGATATCAAAGAAAATCGAATAGATGAAAAATTGCCCAGTGTACAAGGTTATAATGATAAAGAATTAAAAACACGCAATGAAATAAGAAAACTCAATGAATTAGACAACACGAATAATCCACGTTGGAAAAGATGCCAACAAAATCCTCACTTACAAAATTTTATTCAAAAGAAGATTGAAAATATAATTAAGTTTAAAAAATTATGTGAAGCATATCAGACAAGTTAAAATAAAAACAAATCATCGATATTTGATGATTCAATTTTTATTCAAGCTTTCTATATTTCTTTTTCTCTATTTCAAGTTCAAAAGTTCAGTAATTCTACTCATTTCCTTTTTTGAGAAACATATAACTCGAGAAGCTTTTTATGACTTGGTATTTTATTTATTCTCACTCGAAAATATTTGTGTGTATGTAATTCAATAAAAAGCTGTTAGCACAATTCCTGCTTGATTAAAACGTGGAACACGATATAACTCTTGTCATCAATTACGAGAATATTGTTTCCTTCGATCTATCTTGGACCCATTTTTTTCATCATCTTTTACTTAATCGTGTAGAACTGCAATAAGAAAGAAGTTAATATATTCTTCTGAGATGCTAGGAATATATGATCGTTAATAGTGTATCAGAAATGTCTGTCACAGTTTGCGACAGTCTCCGAAGGTTAGAGTCCCCTGGATTCAAGATTTTTGAATCCGAGCTCGATGGAGCCGAACTTGGATATATTCAAATAAACTTTCTAAAACTTCTCCACGATAGAAAAGCCTGGATAAAGCTCATCGGGTCCGGATTCTACCCGACTGGCTCTATTGGAGGCCATCTCTGCCGCAATCTGTGATGAGGGGGAGAGGTTCAGATTTCTACCCTACGTACTTTAACACGCCTTGCATATTGTGTTGCATAATGCTTTCTCTTCTTCGTCTTCACTCACAAAATCTGCCAGCAGATCAAACTCTCTACATATAAACGAACGAATTTCCTGGAGAAAATGAATAATCTTACGATCTCGAGCAATAGTAGAAGCTATCAACTTAGAAAGAACATATAGAAAATGGAAGTTAAGTATACAACCATAATAGTAACATTAACACAATGAAAGTACTAGTAGCTTTATAATCAACTTTCGAATCTGCAATATAAAATGACACTTTAGTAGTTCTGAGAAGTAACTTAAAAATTGTCTAACGGAAAAAATAAGACTATTTTATTCTTTTATCGAAGATACACAGAATGAAAAAATTCAGATCGTGAATAGAATTTTATCCAAATATATTTATGCAACACGATCTGAAAGGCGTCTTGAAGTGCATATGGTAGAAATTCGGATTTTCCCACGCGCGGAACATGATAGGCGGATTCCACAAACCTTCAGATATCGTATATCGCGTAAGTTTCGTTATAATCTATTAGCTAATTCATTATAACAGCTTCACAAAATTCCGGAAACAACAGTGAAGAAATGTATCATCAAATAGATCGAATAAAGTAATTTGAATGTCATAGAAGTAATAGAGCTATATCGTATTTCACAATTGAATCCCGCAGGGATTGCGCTAACAGCTTTTCTTCTATCGTGATAGACAATTAAATTTTTGCATTGTTAATAAAAGACAAGCCATAATACTTTTTATAGCATATGTTCATACATCAATCTCCATCATTTGAATTATATAATTGAGACTTGCGTGGCAAACATTTTGAAAAACTGAATGTTTTCACATATCAGCGATGTAAAAATTTTGATTAGATTAAATTTCATATTGTTTGAAGACGATTCTTTTAGATTATAAAAAGAGAAATACAATTCTTTACCTATTGAAATGAATTCTTTATCACAACGTCACTTGTCGATATTAAAACAGCTACGTAAAGATCAAACAAATGTAACTATTCAAAATCTTATAGAAATGTTCAATGGTATTGTTTCATGTCTAAATGCAATGCAAAATCGAGTAGATATTTTTCGTGTTCTTTCTTCAATATGCAATGATTTATCATCGGTCAATACATTGAAACTGTTCGATAATGTTGATCTTATGAAGCATGAATTTTTCCTTATTATTGGACGAATTTTTGAAATGTTATTGACTAAAGCGAGATATGTGTTAATGACAAAAGAAGAAGAAGAATGTTTTCATGAAATAAGTTATTTAATAACTAATTTATGCTTGTATAAAAATAAACCAGTGAAATGTTTCTATACGGCTGATAACGAACTGTTGAAAATGAATGATTTAAATCAATTAGATGATCAAATATCTTATCAAAAAATATTTCTCATGGAAACTTTGTTTAAAAAGCTAAGTTTAATTATCAATAATGATTTATCAGTAAATGACTATCATTCATATCATGTTAAATACAAAGCTCTCGGTCGATTAATTCGTCTATGTACAAAATTGAATGATATAAATTGTCATATTTTAATTGATCCTGTACTCAATTGTTTGCGCTCAAATTTCTATCTCGACTCTTATCAAACACTTGATCTATGTCCAACGATTTTAACACCCAAACAATTATTTTTCATACATGATTGTCCAGAATTTATTCGTTTGCGTGGTCAAAAACGGCAAGATGAAATATCGAATTTATTATGCAAGTTATTTATAAAATACTTTGTACAAATATTTGAACAACATTTATCAAAATTAGCATACGATGAAGATATTTTTAATCTTGCAAAAATTCAAGCGATTTCTTGGCATGTCGAATTTTTGAATCATTTTGCTTTAACACCAAAATTACGTGTACATTACATAACAGGTATGAATGAACATATATGTGATATGATAGTTACTAAAGTGGAACAGTATGAGCTAGCTACGAATGTGCAGATATGGTTGTCAATCGTTTTATGAGTCTTTTCCTCACCTACGACCATGTTCCATCTGTGCCAGCTGTGAAGATGTAAGCTATCCAACTACTTTGCACTACGCGATATTCCAGAAATCAGAAGATCTTGTCACTAACTCGTTGAATGTTTTAGCCTCTTTTGATCATAATGATCAGTAGCTATCAATCGATTGGGAGTTCATGTTGATGAATTATTAGAAATCATGTCGGAATGACATTTGATAGCTTCATATTAAAAAAAAAAGAAAATGTGTTGATGTTCTGTAACTCGACCAAAAGTGACATTGAAGTCATGGGACTTAAAATAACTACGCAGAAAGTAAAATGTTTCACTTTTATTAGTTACAGGTATCATCATACAATGATTTAACTTTTTGTCATTTAGAGGCAGATGTTATTTGCCCAAAAGTCTGATTATTAGAATTGCATTTATGAAAAAGACATTTTTTCCTCAAAAATAAAAGCAAACACTGAAAAATTAGACGCTGCCAAGTTGCCGGAGTCATTATTCACTGTATTCTAAAACTTTCTCAAGTATTGTAGCTAATAAAATGGCTGAGAATATCTGGAATACTTAAGAGAACATCCATGAGGGAACCGAGGAACTGAGACACAGGCCAAAATTTAGATTTTTTCTTTTTTATGTGCGTTTGAAAGGTCATAGTCTAAAACCACCAAATCCAAATTTTTAGCTCATTTGGATATACTATAGTAAAGTTAGCCAATACTGACTAGAGATGTTCATCGCGGCACTGCCGCTGCAGCAGACCATTTACAATGGCACCGCGACAGCGGTGCAACATGAGCTTTTACAGGAATTCACTGTGTAATCTCTAGAAACCTGTTTCCATTCTTTTTCTTTAATAAGAAGCAGTTAAACCGTTATTTGTCATTGATTTTGAATGAAAACTAGACTGTATGACTACTGCAGACCGACAAATACCTTTTTTTCTTCATGTAGTGGTAGTAGCAGTGTTGTAACCTTCTGTTAAAATATCGCTGCGACAGCGGCAAGTTTTTTAGCATGTCGCGGCGCGGCAGCTTATGCTTTTTATATCATTGCGGCGCCGACCTATGTAAAAGACAGCGGCAGATTTTCAGCCGCGATGGACATCTCTGATACTGACTTCTGAGCACTGTCAACTCATCATCAAAAAAATAATTGAAAATCATATCATAAAGTGTGTGAGTGTGTGGATGATAAGAAGAGAAACACTGTGAAACGACAACCACATACACATCCAGCCATATCCACTCACATCCACACACCCACTCCGTATTTACGGTACAATTTTCGATTATTTTTTTGATGATAAATTGACAGTGCTCAGAGGTCAAAATTGGCTAACTTTACTATAGTACATCCAAATGAGCTAAAGATTTAGGTTTGGTTGTTTTAGACTATGACTTTTCAAACGCATATAAAAAAAACAAAAATCTAAATTTTGACCAATGTCTCGTATACCGAGTAGAGAGCTGCACCGGGTTTTCTGGACCCGGTCAAAGAATCGTGAGCCATTCTATCATCTTAAATACTGAATCATTATTTG